GCCAAGTCTTAAACCAGACGAAAAGTTTTTCAGCAAAGACGTCTTCTGCACTAGATCAGTTCTGAATGTCTTGTAGGCTGGTGTGGTTGCTTAAATCTCACGGCTAACGAGTTGGGAAAATATCAAATCATTTTGATCGGTTGGGTTCATGATCTTCCGGTTCAAGGTGCTTCAACTGATGCCACTGGTCTGTGTAAGTTCGAAAGTGCCACGACAAATTGGTTGGAGGTGAGGGAGTGGCAGTAAGATGAAGTGGAATTTTTCCCGGCTTGGTTTATGCACTTTAGATCTATGCTACTTCAGTTGATGACACCCCTTCACTGATAACCACACACCAGAACGTGTCAGCTCGCGTGTCCTCCACAAGCTTGCCAGCTGCACACTTTCTATTTTGTTCGCAGTGGGATGCTCGGCGCTTTCCAGCGCCTCGGTCATCGGCTTCCGTGGTGTGAGCCGTAATCTCCACCTCTAAAAACTTTGATATTTTCTGAATCTTTGTGTCCCATGTCTATTGTGTCCAAATGGACCTAAGTGCAGTAATTGCATTTAATTTTTTATACACACTCAGTAGTTGCATTCGATATTTCGATGACACCAGTGCAAAACACGGTGCTCTCCTGGAACGTTACTCTTATGTTAGCTATGTTCGTAACCCTTTGAATGGCTTCAGGTGTCCCTAGTTTGCATTGAATAACGGCAATCCCAATCAATCCCTGCTAGGTTTCGCCACCGATACCAATACTCTCGGCATGTCCTAAGTCGTCTAAAGATGATGCGGCAAGTTGGGCTGCACAATATTCAGCTGTACTCAATGAAAAGAGTATCACATTACACGAACTTTTTGGCATCGGACTGATATACGTTAATTGTGCTGTGACCAAAATAGCATTCCGAGATGGCTCAACCTGATTTTGAAGCACTAAAAGTAGACATTTATCCGTTCGACGAAAGTTCACGCAGTGCTAGCCTTTAAAGCAAAACAGATAAAAAATTATTTCTGATAATTAGGTTCTGAAAATCTTATTCGCTTTGCTTACGGATGAGCGCGGACGTCGCAATCCTAAAGATGAACACCTACAGCTACAGACTCGGTTACAGTACGCATGTGGTGTCGATATAGGACTTGCGCAACCAGGCCAGTCACACTGAAGCACAAACGTAACTCAAATGGCAGTTACGGTTGATTGAAACAATCGTTGTGTGTGTGTGTGTGTGTGTGTGTGTGTGTGTGTGTGTGTGTGTGTGTGTGTGTGTGTGTGTGTGTGTGTGTGTGTGTGTGTGTGTGTGTGTGTGTGTGTGTGTGTGTGTGTGTGTGTGTGTGTGTGTGTGTGTGTGTGTGTGTGTGTGTGTGTGTGTGTGTGTGTGTGTGTGTGTGTGTGTGTGTGGATCACTCGGGGGAACTACCCGACTCGTCCGACTGCCTGAATGTCAGACTGACTTTTTGGGCTAGAGGCACGCTGTCAAATCTGCATGCGATGTGCGCCTGCTGATGTGTCACATTGGTCCGAAAACGCGAATAACACAGGAGGTAAAACAACAAAGGTCAGTAATGGTGTGCATGGGCCTCGACGATGCATGCCTAGCAAATGCAAAGTCGAAATGTGCACAAAGCAACCGAATGGAATATACTATGGACTGGGGATCGGCTTGTGATCGTTGATTATGCAGGACGTTCTGAAAAGTGGTTAGATGGGGGTACGAGTGCAATTAGCCGCGTGATACATATAATCCACACCCGTACAAACATCGGTAGCAACACATATCGGTGGAGTGAAAAAAAACACGTTTCATGGTTTTATCTGCTGTTGCTATGTCCAAAGCAAACCTAGCAAAACTTTTTGTTTTATTACCTCTTATTACGATTTCCATAAGTACACCATCGAAATCAGTGATTAGTGCGGATCTGTCAAAACGTGGAAGGTGGCCGACAAAATGCAACACACAATTTCACTACCTGAATGGCTTTTGGGGTTTTTTGGTGGTCACGTGTCCTATACTGTTTTTTTCCGAGTCTTTCATCAACACAATAAAAGTTTAGGCAGCACCGAGAAAAATTGTGTGTTAGGAAGGGCGGGATTTATGGCGCTTCGTGTCATTTCTATCACGGAAACCCTCTTCAGTGTTCATGGTCACCAAACAAGCCATCCGGATTCCCAAAGAGATTTCCACTTCTAGCACTCAATCACAATCCAAACTGTTATTCACTTAAACAAAAATCTGGCTTGTTAGGAGTGCATATCACGTAGATGATTTGAGACGATTTTTTTGCCTTGACGTCAGATTTTCGCAAGAATGCTTCACTCAAAAAGATCCAATAAGATTTAACTGCACTAATTCAGTAAGCTAAAACGTCCATATTGGTTGAATAATGCTGGTCGGGAAAATTCGCTCCGAAATCAGCATTCAAATCTATATGCTGTCATCCTCAGAAGGGTCATGAATGCATTCAAATCGAACCAAGATCAAAAACTGTCCTCTGGCGCGATAAATGCCAGTATTGATTTCAGATATCACATTCCAAATTTTGCCTGTCAAGTTTGTCGCTTTCAAATATTTCTATCATGAAAGAATGAAAGTATGGTTCGACAGTACACAAAAATACTCCAGCGAATGGGGTCTAAGTAGAGTGGAACGAAAACCAACAGAATTCAGTGACGATGAATTGAGTGGAAAAAACATTTCCTAATGTAAACCAGCTGTATCATGAATATAGTAAATTCTTACACTACTCATAAGGTTGCTGAAAATCGCCCGGCAACCCACGACCGGTGTCACCCTTCTTGGGGCTCATTAGGTAGGTGCAGTTCCCCAGTTTCCGACAACCTTGTGTTTCACTTTAACCCGAATAGCACGAAGTACACTCAGATTAGCTGGGTTCCAGGCAAGTCTCCCGTCAAAACCAAATGGGTATGCAAATTAGTGTATTTCAATAGTAAACTCTCATTTGCTTGTGGATGGTTACTAAAAGTAGACCGCGCTGTTTCACAAGAAGTCGTTGTACCTGGACCGCCAAATGCTTTTGCTCCTATGAGCAAAAGGAAATCGGCTACATGATCCCCACTTGAAATCCTGAATCCCGACAATACTGACGCCTCTAACAAGACATTATTCAACCATAAGCGATACTCATAAATGAGCAACTGAACAACTGAGATGACTAGGCTGCGTTAAGACACATAGGTTTTCAAACTAACCCTGCTGAAATCTCTGAAAGATATTTGGCCAGATCCACCTAACGTGGATTCATGGTAAATGACAAGAAAACCTAATTATATGACACAAAGAGGACTTCGTATGTAACGATTAGTCCCCAGTTTTTCAACATAAATTGCCAGTCGGAACCATCGGCGATAGGTCTTAACGCATACAGAGCTGATGAATGTCTTACCCGTCTTCCAGCAGTGGACGTTCCGTATTTAGAACGACTCTTCCGATCTTGATAGGGAAACATCAGGACAAACGGTCTCGGCAACGAAGCCAGGAGTAAGTGGTCGGCACTCATTTGTGTTTGTAAAATCGGGGCTGAAATGTGAAGGGGGCGATTGGAAAAATTTTAAAAGAAAATCCAAACTAAACACTGAATTTGGTGAACAAACATAAACAAACACCAAACATGCAGTTTCTGAGAAAACGTCGTTCACCCTCGAATATCGCGAAACAGATGAAAAACTCTGACTACCAACTGTAGACAAACAATCGTACTGCGAAGGTAGCTGTTCCGAAGAGCAAAACAAGTCTGTTCGCCATCTGAAATGAATTTATTTGTCTGAAAAGTGAATTCAAGAAACAGTAATGAAAGCAATGCAAATCATCCCGTCAATCGACCGAATAACCAATTAGAAAAAACAATGCCGATGGGAGGGGGTCAAAATGTTGAGTGCACCGAGCAACAGCAACATCCCATGTGAAAAGTTGCGTCCAAGTCTAGTTCTATCAGAGTGTGAGTTGGGATACTCAGGGATAAACTGTTCGCATCGTTTGCTGTTTAAATGCTCACGTTGGAGAGCTGGATGAACAGAGAACTGTGAGATCTGCCACCTATGTCGTTGACTACGTCAGAAATGAAAGTTATTAGTTATCTAGTAGGATGTATTGGATCTCACTACCATTTATTGTCGAGTAAACATGCAAGTAAAGATGTATCATCGGTCAGCTTAAAATCCCACGCATGCAAATCGTGTGATTCAGAGAGGTAGCCTAATGACATCCACTTTTAATGGTAACCCGTGAGATATAGACGGTCCGAGTGGCTAGAAACGTAGTACTGAAGACCATATAGCAAAGTAAGCAGAAGACGGTCAACGACTCATCGGAACCAATAACGATGCTTGAAATTTCCTCCAGGTAAAAAGGTCGTCAAAAGTAATCAAAACGCACGAAGCGCTTACATAGCTTCTGGACAGCTGTACAACTGAAACGGCATTTGACCGGTGAAAAAATGATGAAGCTCGGTCCCGGTTAAAGATATTATGGGAAATGGAATCCAGCCAACGGCATCATTGTGAAGTCCCTTTGCCCGATTACGCAATTGTACGAGTCGCTCGAAACTATGGAGTTAAATCAATCGGAAAATTTCCATAGGCGTAACCAGTGATGTTGTTCGATAACTGTACGACAGCAAGTTCCTCTTCTTAAAAAAAGCGTTACGCGTAAAAATAACATATACGGGTGGATAAATAAACTATAAACCCTCTGTTATTGTAGTTGTTGATCGCCAGGATTAGGAGTCATTCGGTATCAGTGGCCGTGGTATCAATAGTCAGTGGCGATTGAAACTACCTAATCTGAAAGGAACCGATCAATGGACATCTTATCACGTTTACGAATGAGTGAACAAAAACCCCAATGGACACCACATTTATTTGCTCAACTCAACATAAAGGGGGATTCAAAAAAGTCACCCACACAAAATGGCATGAACCTTTGATGTCCTCCTGCTTTTTCAACCGATGTTTTGTAAAGTTAAACCCCGACCACCGGTTCCTTTATTTGTGGTCCAGCTACCCGGAGCATCAATTCTTGTAACTGATTTACAACGCACGCGCATCACTCCGCAGGAACTTCCATCTATCAACTGCACAGACAAGTTCAGGCGTCCTGTTGTCATAACGGTTAAGTTGACGGTGTTCCGCTTGAATGAAAGGCACTTCAAACCACGTCAACTGTCTCTACAGTGGTCACCTTAGTTGTATGTGCGAGAACAAGCGACAGATGCACAAAACAATCTGCCGATATGGATGTAAGTGGGAGAGTCTGACCATACTGGGGACAGCTAGGATTAGAAAATTCATCAAACCACAAGCAGTCAGGATATGCCTAACAAGATAGGTGCCTGAAAAGAAACACCTGGCTGAAATACCGGGAAGGATAAGCCTCTATCATAAGAGGTAAGTGCTTTTTACCGGCTAAATAAATAGCACCATCCTGCTCCTGGAACACCATTGCAAAATGTTTGCGCATTGAACAGTTAAGTTCCCCAGCTGTGCCCCTGTAACGCCTTTCCAGCATTTCATCGTTTATACGGGCAAGCCTGAAGCAAATCTGACCGACTTCGGCTTTAAACAGCTTTTAGTTCGAAACTCGGCTCGTTATATCATGTGCAAAAAACTTGGGGAATTTTAGCTTCCCGGCAGAATGTTATAACATCGCATTGACGATGTTTACTACTCACATAAGATTTTGGGTGAAGGGACAAACAACCGTCGGAGACCCTTGTGAGAATGAAAACATAGGGGCAAAGAGGAGCAGAAATAGTAACGCAGCTTTTTTACTGTTGATCAACATATCCATGTGCTAACTGTATTACAACGAATCTGACGAAATAATTAATGTCGTCCACGACAGTCAAACATTTCAATCTGCTTAATGCGTCCTTACACGGCAGCCCACTGAGTTACAGCTGCGCATCCCGAGGTTTAGTTAACTCGGATGATGCGCTGCTGCCCTGATCAGGGTTTGCCGGTATTGAACGTGCCTACGAGAAATCGTCTCATTCAGAAGTGGAGCTTTACTTGTGACATTTAAACATTTTTTAACCAAGCTCATTAATCTTAGTCAGGCAGTTAGGCTGGTGGTGTGCACTTGTTCAAATTCGCGCTCGCAAAATAACGAGACTCAGCGGTCGTGTGAGCAACCTCAGTTGACGAGCTTATGGTATAAAAAACGGGACGGGAAACCTCTATGTGACTAAAACGCACAGTTTTGTGGTTGGCCGACCCGCCGCCATAGCCAGACCGAAATATGATTGATGGTGTTTAGCTGGTTAACTTTTGCCTATATTCGTTTGTGTGAGAGTAGAACGCTGAGTAAAAAATGAACAACTTAGACCACAGCAATTTTGATAGGTGTTCGTCGAGAGATTTTCTCCGACTAAAAATTAGCGTTGTCATGGCCTTATAGCCGGCCGAAATTTTGTTGGCAAAGATTGATCCATTTCGAAAAGTCTGAAAGAGAGGAGCTGTGTGCCGCAGTACTCTGAGGGGCACGCAACTGCTCCTGGCAACATGGGAACACGTATACAGCGGCCACAAAATGATACGATGTTTAGAAGGCATAGCGCACTACGAAACTCCCACGAAAACGAACATGTGGATATCAACAAAGTGAAAATCCCAACAAATGAGACTGAATGTAGATTAATTTCACTCAAACTGGTCTGGCTGGTAGATGGTGGGTCACTTCTACCTGGTATGCTGCTGAAGGCCGCAGTTAAGAGTGAATGACACTGATAATTAGGGGAATGCCGTAAAAAAAACTAGACGAAAGAACAACGAAGATGAAGATCTAGAATAGGTCAGTGACTCATCCATAGTTTAGCACTTCGTCTTCAAGTCACATGGGCTTACCCTGTGAATTTTCAGTGGACGGGTGGGAGAAATATTTTGATGCACAGTACGGTTATCCGGAAACGAGAAAATGCATATCTTGACATGGGCCATGTGTACGCATGATTGGGGAAAACACCTGGATCTCATGCTGCTACTCAAAATGAACGTGGAAGACTGAGATCGCAACCTTTCCTGAACCCTAGAGAAAACCTTAAAGTGAACTCGTATTCATGGATCGTTGTCCATATTTCCAAAACAGCTCCATAATCTCACCTGAAAGTCTGAGGATTCAAAACAATTTCTGCCTCTGACAAACTGGTTACAGAACTTGGAAACAGCTGACTTATACCACCAAGATAGACGACGTTCAGTAATGACAATCCCACACTCAGCTACAACCCTTCGTTAAGGTCTGAAAGCTGGTCTGCAAAGTGGAGGACAATATAAATGTCCACACGGGTACACCGCCCTGTAGGCAGTCGTAGAAACTGGGATAGGACGGGCTCACCGAAATAATGCGACATCGGAAATAAAACGGCACTAAAAGCAACGATCATATGGTCGATGACTGCCGAGGAAACCGCGGCTAAGTACGTCTCGAAAATTAAGTGCATTCGGCAGGAAACGCTTCACAAATTTGTACGCTACATTGGTCTTTAACAGTCGGCTTATTCATCTCGAATGCAGTTAACAGCAAAGAGACCCGTATGACCACTGAGGCAGGAGAAAGCTCCACATGTTTCATTTATCTCGCGATTTTCTTAGCGAAAATCCGATGCGTTCAACCCCGTCTGGATCTCTTGCAATTCAGCACAGGAGCAGAGAACGTTCAGACCAAAACTGTTCGACAAGAATAAGCCGTTGACGATTGACGTGGCAGACAGGAAAAGAGCTTCATTAAGACATGATCGCCAGGATATTGAAACATGTCTGAGAATCCCGCCTAAGCCGAACTGATCAGTCATGTTTTTAGTGAATTAGGCTGAGAAAAGTCAGCTGACATTTATCCAGTGCGACACCTACCGCTGCCGATCGGTGGTCGGATACCAACATTTGGTCGAAACGCAGTAGCAGTTCAGCGGTTATCGGAGGATGAGGAAATATAGCTTCCGGATTTCAACTGCTTAATCCACGTGAACCCAGACTCGTGGCCCAAGAAGAGCATGTTACTTCACGTTGGTGGCTGGAGTGCAAAGTTTGTAGAGTGATTCGTTAGCAAATCTAGAAGGCGACTCCCAACACAAAAGACTCACAGTTAGAGAGTCGTTCATGATCATTCGAATTCCCCCGTTTTGGTTTGTATGTCCAGGAAATATCTCAAACCAAGTGCTCCCCATGGATTTTTTCACCAGCTTTGTTTCGAAACGAAGGGAAACTGAACAAATTTCATTGCTTTTGCTAGTAGTGCAATGAGAACTACCATTAGCCCCCTCTCTCTCCGAAAAGGATACACATCCAATAATGGCGAGCTTTGACTATTCTTGAGAAATAAATCAACCGCAGTGGAACAGAGCTCAGCCGAACTTATCAAACTCTTCATATGGATGAGATCCTTTATATCCCTTCGAAACTTTTAGAATAAATACGGCAGCTCACTAAGTACATAGGGCAACAGTTCACATCTGAACGGTCAACTATTCGGTGAGATATCATCATAGAGGTGCGACAGGACATTGCCGCCACCCAGTTGTCTTCCCACCGCTGTTCTTATGACGCTAATACTGTCAAGTCAGGCGGTTAACGAGTCCCTTCAATCCTTCTCTTGACACCAACATGGTAATCCAAACAGCCGACGCACACCAACACTTACTGGCAGAAAAACGTGTGATATCAATCACCTGCCACATGGAAACTGTCCGAGAGTTGGGAGCTGTCCGTGTAGTGGCCGTAACCGTAGCTACTAATGAGGTCAACCAGGTGGGTTGTCTGCTTCTTTGTTAACCCCCAATCGTGTGCCTACGGCGGAGGACCAGCATCATGTAGGTGGTAAGAAAACAGTTGCTGGTTGGATGTAAAATATTTTAAAATCCGGGACTCCGAAGAGGATCGCCCCATCCATTTGAAAGAAGCAAGTCAGACCATCGTTACGCACGTACGTTACGGGATAGTTGCGAACTTTGAGCTACGGAGCCTGCGATGTAAAACAATGTATCAACTGATATTGGTAACAAGATTATGACATCGATAGATGGCTATACCCAGTTTGAAGGTGGATAATATTCGCAAAGATGGCGATCGGTTCTAGTGAGCGCAATTTATGAGTGGGTGATAATTCCGACAAGAGGGCTATCGACAACAATACTAACACAAGAACGCCGGCAAGAAACTGGCTAAGAAACTCAGTAGTTTGCTTTGGATCAAAGGCTCGGAAAAAGTGCGATTTGGAGTGCATAAACCTTAAGACTCTCGAATCCCTTCGAGGAAGCACTGTGAAAAATGAAGTTAATCCAAGAAAAATTCGTATTTTTGAAGATTACTCTCAAAAATCTGAGATGCAGGTAACGAAGAACCAGAAATATAACCTTCAATATAGTATTGATACCACCCACGGCAATGTGTTCACGAACGCTGTCGCCTTGAATGGTGAAGAAACGCTTGCAAGCCGATTGCACGTCTCGTCGAACATCTCGACCGATACATAAGATGTAATCTGATGAATGGTGAAGAAACGCTTGCAAGCCGATTGCAAAGCTCGTCGAACATCTCGACCGATACATAAGACCACTGTAATCTGATCACGTGGAAATCGACAGAAGCTCGGGGCCTACGGAGGTCTCACAAGAATCACTTCGTGTATCACAGAAACAGGTCCAAAAAAGGAAGCAAAAGTATCACCGATCAATCAAATTTTCGAACCGTTCATGTGTCTTTGCAAGGCAACAAAGGTTTTTCAAGATCCACGCATCAGCCTATCTGATTTCTGCAGGGATTGCACTTGATATGTGAATTTTTGACAGTTACAACAGTCTACACGGGAACAAAGGCAGGTGGATTGTACGGGTGCCCACAACCGGTTCATGGCTGCAAGTAAAAAGTCAGAGACCCTTCAAAATTAGTTGCTTCATCGCTGAGATAACTTTCGTGTACTGTATTCAGCCTATATTTATGAAATGGCACACCTCTATCTAAACGAGTGATAAGTAACGGAATACGTTAGCTGTCTGTCACTCGCAAAACAGCCTCCTTGAGTCAAACTGTGTTGGTAACTCTAACAGATCAAAATACTTGTGAATGAAACACGCTATTAAAAGACCACGAGGAAAAAACAAGTGAACCGGGAACGCCAAATGAAACAAATAGCCAACGTCACACCTCCAGCCTTTGAACTCATAAATACCAAGTGAAGG